GAGCACTAAACTAGCCGGATGATGCTGGCGATAACATATGCGCGTCTTGGAGATGGGTTAAACGTAGCTTGTGGTTAGCAAACTAGAGATCTAGCGAGTGATTTATGAGGATTCTGAGCTACTCGGCACTTCCTCGATACTCCCTCTACATACAGGAGGTGTTATTTTTTCCATCTTTACACCTCTAACATGACGCATAAGGGGATGTACAGTTCGGTTCGACTCTAGTGGATGTTGTGGCATGTAATTTACTGGGGCTTGTTGTATCGCTTTCCCAAAGGTTTTTTGTGTACCGGATGTCAATATGGTGGTGCTCTAGATATGAGAATCTGTAATTTTCGTCTTGGTCTAGACTAGATGGTGGTGCTGGCATGAGGTACTCGAGAAACGTTAAATAGATAGTGGTTACCTGTTACCCAGAGAGTCCGACAGAGTTGAAGCTTTGGAATGCCTTCACTTAGAACGGCATCAGACACCAGTGAATGCTAGGAACTCATGCGAGAAATGTGAAGGAGTAGAAACACCTAATGGTTGGTGATTACTTCGTCTCACTATTGATCTGCTTTCCAGGACGTTGATCCCCACTAACACGACTCAGGATGAATTTGGGGCTGTTGTTTCCATCCTGTTTGTACCAGAAGAGATAATTAGTTGTTCCACTGTCTATACTGACAGCCAAGTGTCACTGTGCCTCCTGCAGCAGCAGTCTCTTCTCCTTTTGCTTGCAGCACGTTGTCTTTTTGTGCTCTGCATTCTGTAAAACACCAACAAACAGTATCAGTGTGCTGTTAAAGAATCACGTCAATGTTGATATCAAAGAAACAGAGTTGTGTTCATACCGAGGCACATAGCAGCCAGCAGCACTGAGATGAACAGAGGCGTCATATCTGCAGTGTAGAGTAACTGTGAGCTACAGCAAGTATAAAGAAGCTGTGATCTCTCTGTTTAGTCTTCATCAACACTAAGTTGGTGGATTAGAAGGAGGAGCCTGATCACAGTGACAGGACTCATTCACAGCCCTGTGTTATTCCCCCTGCTGACAGCTTCACACTCAGCACGTCTTTCTGCTGCTCTGCTTTCCTTGGCAGCAGGAAGTCTACAAAGTGAAAAGTCAATGATCCTTAAACACATCAGTGTGTGAAGGGCGAGTGTGGCTTGTAGTGTTCAGCACTTTGAGAGTCTCAAAGACAAATTTTTTTAATAGAAACACAGTTAAAACTCTGCTGAAGCTGAAAGTCAAGATCAGATAGGAAGTGAATATTAGACTCAGGATCAACTCCAAATGTAGAGCTGTACGTGTCCAAGCCTGAAACAACCTGAAGAGCCGGTTGGGAGCTGAAAGAGCCGGCTCTCTAAAAAGAGCCGGAAATCCCATCACCACGGTAGAGAAGTAATAATAATAATACATTTTATTTGTGGGTGCCTTTCAAAAACCCAAGGTCACCTTACAAAAGAACAAAATTAATAAAAGGAGCAATAGTCATAAAATACATAAAATAAGTTAAAATTGCAAAACAGAACTTGACAACAGAAAATCAGCACTAAAGTGAATAAACCAGTTTGAACAGATGTGTTTTGAGCTGTGACTTAAACACAGGAAGAGAGTTTTTATTTCTTATGGCTTGAGGAAGAGAGCAACTGAAGGCTCTGTTCCCCATGTTCCGAGGGACCACTGTACTATATTTCACTGGCAAATATTGGAAGGACCCACAGAATTTGGTCCTGATGAAAAGTGGAGGAGTGCATCGATCAGACACTGAAATGAGAAATGTAGAAAGAAGAGAGAAAATAATAGGCCTTAACGCTTTCCATCAAGGTGATCAAACAAGTAAAGACTGTAATTCTGACTGGAGAGAAGTTTAACAGTGTGTGGCTCCCTCTAGTGGATGTTGTGGAGTATTCTGTTGTCTTTGCTCCAAAGGTTTTTGTACAGAGTTTTGCTGTTTCCTGTCACTGTGGGCTTCAGAGCACAGTAGTACACAGCAGAGTCAGACAGCTGAAGCTTCTGGATCTTCAGAGGAACTGACTTTTCTTTCTTGTCGACTTCGGCATCAAATCTGTCCTTTGGGAACTCCTGAGCGTTATCTGCTGTTCCAGTAGTTCCACGCTGTAAAACATACTTTGGAAAGTCATTTAGTTCTTGTTTGTACCAGAACAAATATGAATATGAAGCAGATGTTTCAAATGTACATCCAAGTGTAACTGTGTCTCCTTCAGCAGCAATGACATCTCCTTGTTCCTGGATCACTTTGTCTTCTCCTTTACACTCGGAGGAAGAACAGAACATGCAGAGGAAGAGATGGATCAATAAACATGATTGATTAAAGGAGAACAATCAGCAGCTTTAAAGAGTAGAATTACATGTAGAATATCAGGTGTTTTTACAAGCTAACAAACGGCAGCAGAAACGATCTTCTGACCATTCTAACAAATTTCTTCTCTTGTCTAACACTCACCTCTGATATGAGAGAAAAGTAAAATGAGGTAAAGCAGCATGTCTTTAGTTGTTGGGTTAGTCAGACAGCAGAATGAAGAAACTAAGCAGCCTCTCTGCTGCAGTCCTTCTCCTCAACGTCAGGCTGGCTGTGCTTCTGCAGACAGAAATCATCTCATTGGTTGAGTTCAGCATCAGTGGGTGGAGTCAGAAACATTTTCAGGCCAGTCAGTGCGATTATTCCTGCCTCAGAGGAGTGTTTGCTGAAGGTTCAGTTTCAGTTCTTCACAGCACAGTTCGACCAAAGCAGGTCAAACCAGGATGGAGCTCGACTGAAGGTGGAATTTAAATCTGTGTGAAGATGTGCAGCACTCTTTGGAATAACTTTATTTTGAAAGAACAATAAGGTAATATGAAAAGGCATCATCCTAAGCATCAACATCAGCGAGGATCTGAGCTGGTCACACCATGTTCATGTGATCACAAAAGCAGTCAGACAGCAGCTCTTCTCTCTGCGGCGCCTGAGAAGATTCAGCATGAACCCCAGAATACTTACAAACTTCTACAGAAGCACCATTGAAAGTATTCTGACTGTTTGTACCACCACCTGGTACGGCAGCTGTAACACTCCTGTCCCCAAAGGTCTGCAGAGGGTGGTGAGATCAGCACAGTGCATCACCAGCAATGCAGGTTCTGTACAAACGGCGCTGCATGAGGAAGACGCAGCGGATCCTCTCTGATCCCAGCCACAGACTTTTCACACTCCTGCCGTCTGACAGGCGGTTCAGGAGCATCCAGACCCGCACTAGCAGACACAGTTTCTACCCACAAGCCATCAGGCTTTTGAACTGCTGACATTCTGGACACAACATTACACATTTAAATGCTCATTGCAACGATTTTGGTGCAAACTCTAAATACCAAAAATTGTCTTAAATTCTCTAAATATTTAATATTTTAGTATTTTGTTATTCTTCTTCTAATCATTATTATTGTTATTGTTATTTTCTGCTTTAATATAACGGCACACTTCTATATGTTCATGTAAAGCTGACGAGCATGAGTCAAAGAATTTCCTTATAGGTAAATGTGGCTACACTGTTTATCTGCATATGACAATAAAACTCTAAACGTCAAACATCACATTTTGACGTTCCTGCAGTTGGTTTGTGGTTGATGTGGATTTGCTGCTCATGTGAATCCTCCCACAGTGTTTCATTAGCAGCTGTAACCACAGTGACTCTGATAAAACAGGAATTAGCAGAATCCATCTGATATGAAGCTGTGCTTTGAATACCACTTCCCTCCTCTTTGAAGAGTAGTCAGATATCTGTGTTCAGGTTTTTGTACAGCCTCTTCTACACTTTGTATCACTGTGTTTCTAGAGCACAGTAGTAGAGAGCTGTGTCTGCCAGGGTTAGGGCTGCTATGGTCAGATTAGTTGATGTAGAAGATGTTTCTGATTCATAACGTTTATCAGGAATATATTCATAACGACTGTAGTCTTTGGCTCCTTTCCAGAGTATAAACTGAGGAGCCTGAAGGTCAGAATGATGTCTGTACCAGTGAAGCTCTGGATGTGTATAACTTGTCTCATAGCTACATGTGAGTTTGACAGATTCTCCTTCTGTTTTACTGACTTCAGGTTGTTGAGGAGTGAGTGAGTCTCCAGCTGTTAGTCCTGGAAAAAGAAAGAAGAAAAGTAGTGAAATGCAGTCTGTATATCTGCTTAATGCAGCAGCTTCAACTACACTTTAATCCCTGTTCTTAAACTCACCTATAATGTGAGATAGAAGCAAAAAGAGGTGCAGCAACATGTCTTTGGAGTTATGAGCTGTGAGTGGTCTGATGTTCACAGCTGGAGTCAGACAGTTTTCTGCAATCAGGAGGAGGAGCTGCTTTTGTTGTCATGTGATGTGTCCTGTTGAATCCTGACGACAGCTTGTGTGTCTTCAGGAGGTCCTGCACAGTTTGTGCTTCGTGCTGCTCTTTAAAGTTTTCCTGCTTCAACTTTGTTCACACAGAGCATCTGGTTCTTCTCTCTGTGGTGTCTGAGCCAAAGAACATCCACTAAACACTCACGTCTGGGCTCCACTTTGAAAATAAAACGTTACATTTATGTAAATCTGTAAAAAATAAACATTTACAGCTTGTGTAATAATAAGTGTAACACTGAGAAAACTGTTGGAGTCAGATTTGAAAGACCTGAAAACTAACACAGTGACACAGATGAAGGAGGTTTTACTCCTTTTATTTGATACAGCAGCTGAAAAAGAAGCTGCTGCAGTTTCTGCTCTTTCGTCTTTGATATTTTTGTATGAGTATGATGGATTTGTTCAGTTGTGTATTAAAAATTAAATGAAAGTCAGCACTGAAAGCTAAACAGTGAAAATAATTTCCTTTGTTTTTATTCCACAGCCTGCATGGAGCTTCAGTCATTCATGGATCTGTTTTCTCTTCTCACTGCAGCCTTGCTGCTCACAATCATTTATTCATTTACTGCAACAAACCGAGACGTTAAAGAGGAACTAAAGGCAACACTCGTGTACTGCCGGAACCTCACCGCGTGACACACGCGGAAGTAAACAAAGCAAAGGCGCCATTATCGTCCTACGTGTGTGTGCCTGAGCACAGAGACTGTTGTGTTGTTGTGTGTGAGCTGAGTGTGTGAGCTGCGGCAGCAACGATGCCTTCAGTTCAGTATCTGAGAGAGTTTATCAACGAGCGACTAACTGCTGCTGCTGAACAAATATTCTTGGAGTTTGAAAAAACGATCGTCCAGTACGAGGAAGAGATCGACCGTCAGCGCAGACTGCTGGATATCACCTGGAAACCCCAAATCAAGCTGCACAGGACAGGTGAGTGTCCCTCTGAGGGAGGATCCTGATCACAGCTCTGCGGGACGTTTCTGATTGTGAGGACTTTTTGGAGACTTAAGTAAGTGTAACATAGTTAAATAGAGTTGAAGTTAAATCCCGCTAAATGGGACATTGGCGCCACCTACTGTCGAAAATGTCACCCTGCAATATTCACAAAGGGCAAGGGATTCTGGGCAATCCTCAGAATAATGGAGGATTCCTGCGAGGTAAGGAATGCGCAAATGTCGTGGGGAGGAAAAATCATATCGCAGGCTGTTAAAGTAATGCAGTCTGACCCGATTATTTTTGTTGTTTATACATCATTCGTTGCGCGTCATTTCTCCAGTCTTTATGTTGAACTGAGTGCACGTTTATGTGAGATTTCTTTATTGGGAGGAGAGGAAACAAAATGGGAGCATAGTTAGCTAACTCTGTTGTTGCTTTCCCATTTAGATTTTGTGCTGATTGCCCACGACATTAAAAAGAGAGCATTCTAACCATTGCCTTTTTGTTGTGGATGCAGACCAGAGAAGACACTACACAGAGGTCACATAAGCAAAATGTACTTATGTACCACTTGGTGATATCCTCATGTGCGACGCGATCGCGAAAACAGCAAAAAATTAACGCCACGCCGATGTTGTTCACAGGACAGCAAGAGTAAACGAAAGGGAGACTCTTGTCGTCGTTATCGTTTTATTTCTCCGGTTTCAGCGTTTTTGCTCCACAACTAAAGCGAGCAGTTTGCTTTGTGCACTAACATGGACTCGAGTCAACCAGCGCCACCTCTGGCCACGTGCCACAGCCTACAGCCAGATCAGCCTGTGACACACATCTGCAGCACGTTTGAATTCGTGTCATGCACATTTGTACCTTTCAAATGTGTCTGTTTGTGCGTCTGCAAAGAAACCTTTGAAGAATGAAATGATATCATATATTTATTATTGGCCTACATTTGTACAAAATTCCAAATTATATACACAAATTCATAGAAATCACCACCCCTGTTCATCATGATTTTGATATTCTCTTTTTCCATAACAATGAAATACACCTTGGACAAATATGACACATCAATATTTCATTAGTGTTGTCACATCACATCCTGTAAGCATCGTTTGTCTGTGTCTTTCCTCTGGAAATGAATATTTCCAGCCAATATAGGCAATCCATCAACATGGCTGGAGAGTTGGTGGTTATATACAGTCTGTATAAGTTTGGTCAGTCTAATGAACATTTGTAAGGAGACGGCAGTTACTGTGAATTTACAGGACTTTCTCTGTTCATGGGCTAACTTGTGGAGTAGGGTCTGTATTCTCTCTGTATTCATTTGTGGCCTTTTTCCTTGTAGCTGATTTTTAATGAGAGTTGATTTATCTGTTAGCTGTGAGGATTCAGCCAACATTTCTGCATTTCTCTCGTATTTTCAACAGCTGATGTCAGTCATCATCAGCACTGACAAGAGGTGTAAACTTTCTGTGTTTTTCTGACTGACATTCCTACTTTTAAGCCTTGTTTTAACAGTATGCACTGCTCGAAAAATTAAAGGAATGCTTTTTAACCAGAGTATAGCATCAGGTCAGTCAAACTACTGGCATATTGATCTGGTCAGTTAAGTAGCAGAGTGGGTTAGGGACGGGAATCCAAGGACCTGGACTGCTGGGCACTGGCTGTCCTCAAGAACTGGTTCCTGGTAATCCAATTCAAGTAATTCAATTGTTAGTTTGTCTGGTTATTGATCCCACTGTTCTTGCACTACAATCAGCTGATTTTAGTTTGCGTGTGAGAGGAGTGAAATAGCGGCGCACTCTGCAACATGGATATGGACATTACATTTATTTTTATTGCACAAACGGATGAGAACATGATGGTAAAGTAGAAACTGCATCCAGGACAAAACGGCTGCTAACACAACTATGACTCTGCAAGCACCTGTGCAGTCAGCATGCTAATGCTAAGCTAGCCTAGAGCCCAGAGTGACGCTGCAGTTGAGAGCTGACCCCATTAACATTAAAGTTTTGTAATGACTAGTACAATGAGTTACTTTCTTCTAGGAGTAAATACTGCAGTACTGTACTAATTCAAATTAATTTTAAGTGCTCCATGTAATATGTGTAGCAACGTTTGTTTTGTTTTGGGGTTTTTGTCATTTACCACCCCAGCACTGATCACAACAAAGGAGAAATACCTCTTACATGCACAAATTAATTTGTATGAAGCAATGTCTTTGATGTGCTGCTTAATGATAGCGGTGACTCTCAAAGCAGAGGCAATAAGGATCGAAGACAGAATTGATACAAAATTGGAACATTAAGCGTTATCAATAATCAGTTGGAATCACTAAATTCTTCTCAATTTCCATTCATATCTGGGATGTTATGTTTCATTCCATCTGGTACTACGTGGTTACAACTCTGTCCAGGAGCTCAGTGATGGGCAGATCAAGATCTAGGGGGGGATCCCCCAGGACGCATCTGTCATTTCATGCCCTACAACAGGGGTGTCCAACTCCAGTCCTCGAGGGCTACTATCCTGCAGCTTTTAGATGCATCCCTACCCCAGCACAGCTTAATCAAATGGTTGGAATACCTCTTCAGCATGCCATCAAGTTTGGCAAAGGCCTGGTAACAAGTCTTTCATTAGATTCAGTTGTGTTGGAACAAGGCTGCATCTAAAAGCTGCAGGACAGTAGCTCTCAAGGACTGGAGTTGGACACCCCTGCCCTACAAGCAAATAGGGCCAATTGAACTACTGAGTACCATTTTGAGTTGTTGCAGTAAAATTTTTAGGGAGTCCTTGAATTCAGCCACATGGCATCCTTTCATTCCCAACTAGGGCTGCACGATTTTGCATAAAATGAGAATCACGATTTTTGTTGTTTCCGCAAAATGTTGTACTGCTTGAAATTCCGTCTCCACCGTTGCTCGACGCTGCGTGTACAGAGCAGGTAGTGCAACAATAGAAAAATAGTTGCGGGACGGCACTGTGTAGCGTTTGTCTAGAGTGTTGATCATTTTCCTAAATCCCTCGTTTTGCACAGTGTTGATGGGAGCCATATCTTTGGTCAGGTGATAAGTGATAGCCTCCGTAATTTCTTTGTGCCTGCCGGGTATAGGGAAGCGCTGTATAAGGTTCCCGTTATTGATGTTTGGGTGGTTGACCGGGACGGATTTTCTCCTGTCACTTTCTCGTCATCCCTGACGTGCTCTCCGTTGTTTTTTTCCCTGCTGATTTTAGCATCACACGGCACAGCTTCTGTATCACGTGGTATAAGGCTCCGCCCTTGTCATTTGTTGAGCAGGAAGAGTGAGCGCTTGTTTTCATGCAGATTACGTCCCGGATCAAAATGCGGTACAATCGTCGTCGGGTTTTGTTTGTTTTTTTTTTGTTTTGTTTTTTTAAATCGTTGTCATTTGGAAATGAGATCGCACATACTGTAAGTATGAATCGAGATCGCGATTTTCTAACGATTAATCGTGCAGCCCTATTCCGAACACATACCCAGTCCATGGCACTATAGATATCAAGCTTAATTTAATTTTCCATTTTGATCTGATACATGTTCAAAGTCTTCCTTTATTTTTTGTGCAGTATATTTGCTCAGTATGATTTTTTTTTTCTATTTTCACATCACCTTTCTTTTAATTGTCTCCTTTTTCCCCTCCAGACGTCCCACAGCAGCATTTCTGTAAGGAGGAGGAAGTTATCGCTGACCAGCAGCTCTGGAACCAGGAGAGGAGCTCCAATCTGGACCAAGAGGAACCAGAAACTCCACAGATTAAAGAGGAACAGGAGCAACTCTGTAGCAGTCAGGAAGGAGAGCAGCTGGTACTGAAGGAGGAGATTCATACCTTTATGGTGACTGCTGCTGAGGAAAGAGACCACAGTGAACCAGAACCAACAAGAGACCAACTCAACTGTGTCAGCTCTGCTGTAGCAGTGAGACAATATCAGGGAGGAAGGAAGAAAGATTCACAATCACGAAGAAATAAAAAAAAGGGTCACAATAATGTAGAACACCAACCTACGCCAGACAGTGAGTGCAAGTCTGACAAAAGTAAAAAGTCTTTAAAATGTGATGTTTGTGGAAAAGCCTACAAATATAATTATGAAATGGAAAGGCATTATAGAATCCATACAGGGGAGAAGCCGTTTTCCTGTAAAACATGTGGGAAAATGTTTGTACGTAGTGGTTCTGTAGTGAAGCACATGAGAATCCACACAGGTGAGAAACCATATTCTTGCAAAGTGTGTGGGAAAAGTTTTAGACAGACAAATGGTTTAACTGTCCACATGATCACGCACACAGGTGAGAAGCGACATCACTGTGAAATATGTGGGAAAATGTTTGCACGTAGTAATGGCTTATTGAGGCACAAAAAAGTTCACACAAGTGAGAAACCTTATTATTGTAAAACATGTGGGAAAACATTTCCACTTAGAAACTTGTTTTTGATACACACAAAACGTCACACAGGTGAGAAACCATATCATTGTAAAACATGCGGGAAAATGTTCAAGCGTAACAGTCATTTAAAAGAGCACATAAGAATACACACAGGTGAGAAACCATATCATTGTAAAACTTGTGGGAATTCATTTAGATATCGTGCTCACTTGTTGCGTCACATGAAAATACACGTATAGAGGTGTACTCTTTTAACAAAATTAACAGTTTAGTAAGCTGTGTTGAGTGCAAAGTTAAACATAAGTCAGCATGGGAACTAATGGTAAACAGCATGGTAGTAAGGAGGTCATGGTAGAGTTTCATTTTAAAAGCAGGTGGAAGTGGCACATTTTTACAAATTATTCTATTTACAAAATGTTTTAAGGACATTATCAATTCTGTACCCAAGCAACAGTGATGGGGATAACACCATTGCTTTTTTCAGTAATTAGTAATCTAACTAATTACTATTTCTATTATTATAATGCTGTTGCTGTTACTGTTACTATGAAGAAAATGCGGTGCAGGCACGTTACAGTTTCTCAACACACAGTTGGTTGAAGCTGTGTTCATCTTGCCAGGAGCTAGTGGGGCGAAACAGTCCCACAAGTCCCACTGGTTGGCTGAGGAAGAATAAAGTAGTCATGGTAAACCAATTACATGACCAATTTAAGATAACGTGGTGGCACAAATAATTTGTGTGGCATCTTATTTGATGCAGAGTGTTCTGTAAATAGTTTAAAATGGTTATCAAAAAGTCTTTGCTGCATTTTTTTGGTAAATAGTTGCATATAACTTTTTTATTTGCAAAACTCCTGCATAGGTTTTTAAAATGTACGTCTATTTGCATTTCATGTTATGAAAATGATTTGTTAAATGTTTGTTGTTGTTACAGTTAAAAAAAAAAAAAGATTTCATGGGGGTGGGGGGTTGTTTGTTTTGGTTATTTACATTTTTTTTTTAAATCAATTGTATTATTGAAAACATAACTGTAAATTCTGATGTGAATTTTGTGCTGAAAAGAATGATACCAAACAAGGCATGATAAATAGTTCTTGAAAGGTGAAATGTAGAGGTCGAATCAACCCTGGACCTCAGAGGGTTAAACTTTTTTTTCTAAAGTAACACCATAGTTAATTTTCTTTGTATTTAGTTACTTTTATAATATTGTAACTTAGTTAATAACTTACTTTTTTGAAGAAGTAACTATAGCTAATTACTTTTTCAAAGTAACTTGCCCAACAGTACTGAGGAATACATTGTCTATGTAGAAGTCTTTAAACTGTTTCCTAAATGAATGAAGTGCAAATGTTTGGTTTCTGCTCTTATATCTCTTTTGCACTGCTGTCATTGCAGCTACTACATCACAGAACAGAACACACACCGAGAAGACCTGCTTCATCAATGAAATTAATTTCTTTTTGATTTTATTTCATTTCAGGTTGTTTGTTTGTGCTCTGGTTCTGGACAGTAACCTTTGATGTTTAAAGGTGTCTTATAAAAAATTCAAACGTGCATCCATCGTGTTAAAAATAAACAGCAACATGGAAAGGCCAGTGAGTGATAAAATAAATGGAAATACAATATTTATTTTAGATTTGTGTTTCCGCAGAGTACAGCTTTACCCTGTGTTCTAGTTTGTTGCGTGTAATCCTGTGAGATCAGTCAAACCTCCAGCTGTCAGACTACACTGTGATAAATTTGAGATTTTTTAAAAATGTGCTAACCACTGCACCATCATGCTGCTTTTCCAATTCTTTTCATAAGAATAACTTGAAAGCTCATTTAGATATAATTTTTTAATGTTGATGTTTATATCATTCATTTGTCTCATTTTCTTTTTGTCATTTAATTCATTGACACTAGTTTTCTGTTACTTTTAGCTTTTTTGTAGAGTTTTAGACTCAAGACGTGGCGGGACGCTCATATATAGAGGTAGTTAGCATTTTCATTGATGATTTCTGTTCCTCTGCAAGTGTTAAATTAAACATTTCACCTGTTAAAATCTCCTGTACTTACTGTGTTTGAGAAAAAAGTTTCTTGTCAGTCTATCCTCAGTGAAGAGACAATAACTCACATCGTCACAGGAGCTTGCAAAGAAAAGCGTCTGGACTTCTTTAAGTTGCTTGAAGACGTTTCACCTCTCATCCGAGAAGCTTCTTCAGTTCTAAGGTCAAATGGTGG